AGCACCATTTGTTGAAGATGCTATCCTTCCTCCATTGCATGCTTTTAGCCCCTTTATCAAATATAAGAAAGTTGTAGTTTTGTGGGTTGGTTTCTGTGTCCTCTATTCTGTACCATTGGTCCAYCCGCCTGTTAAACAGTACTTTTTAATGTTGGCATACTTGTCAGACTGCTTACTCTATCTCCGTGGTCTTATAGTTTCTAGGCTGAGAAGTGAAAGTTCCACTATAACAAGCAATTTCCACAAAAATATACTCAATGAATTTCTTTAACTTTCATGCAGAGATCACCTGTTTGTTGTTGCTGTTATTATTTCATTAGTCAGAAATTTGTTTTTCTTAGAGCTTTCATTTCTGCATAACATGAAATGGAGAGAAGTAGATTTTGCTAATGGCAAGAAGGCAAAATTTTCTTGCTTTAATGTTTATGGCTGTTTTCAGAATTTTGCATGATCAACCTGCCAGAGTCTCCCTGTTTTCAACTTTGTCCTTTTATCATCAGAGACAACAAACAAACAAACAAACCTGGTGCTGTTTTTTTAATGACTAAAATAATTGCACAGTAACCATCAATCAGCAGAGACTGCAGACTCCACACCCCTGCCCTCTCCAGTATGTCAGACTCTAATTCAGCTACTCATTCTCTGTGATTGCATTCTGAAGGCTGTGCAGAAAGAATCATGAGTGTTATGAAAGGGTAAAGGTTTCAAACCAGGAGCTTTCTTAGGGAAATGAAGTCACTCCTCATTCAACAAGTAGGAGTTAAGGTTAAAACTGAACAACTACCAAACCAATCATTTGACACTGAAGACCTAAGAAAAGACTTAAAGAATGGGCTAGGACTTCACTTGCACCATCTTGTTAAAATGAGTAGAAAAGAGAAAAAGAAAAGAAAATGAGATGAACTCTACCAGCTAAGCATAGAAAGTAAGGAAAACAATAAATAAGTTCTCAGAATAGGGGATAGATTGAAGCTCCCAAGATGGGATCTGGATCCTGGGGCAATTTTATGGAGAGCTATAAATGTCAGGATCAGTATTTTAGACCTTGTCCAATAAGTGGTAGGAGCAAAGACCTGATGAAAGTGGTGTTTCATCTGTCAACATGTACAGAATAAATTAGGAAGATAAGACACATGGGCCTGGATGTCAGTGACTATGTCATTGGAGCCGTGCAAGGTTGCAGTAACAGAGACTCCCACTGGAACCACAGTACAGAAATGGGCAAAACACAATTAATTTTGGACTTAMGATAGTAGAAAGTACTTTTAGGACTTAGTGGCAGGTAATACAAGGAATTATAGAAATAAGAGTCAAAGTAGAACATGATTCTTTAACTCCAATATTTTCAGCTTGAGAATAACTTGATTGGTGAAAATTCTTAGACCTGAAAGTAGAGCCAATTTTGGAAAGTATACTTTTTATATTTTGCATTTGTGGCCATGGCAGGGTAGCCAAGTGGAAAAATCTAAGTATGCATTTAAAAATGCATAAATGTAGCTATAGATAGCAGAAGAAATTTGAGCAACATTTGCATAAAGTAGTTGGATGAAGTCATATGAAAAACTTAGGTCTTTAAGATTTATTATATATTTGAGGAGAAGTGGTT